GCCCGCGGGCGCCCCCAGCCCCCTGGACGAGCTCAGCAGCCTCTTCAGCTCGGGCCGCAGCGTGCTGCGCAGGTCGGCGGCCGGGCGCAGGATCCGGGAGGCCGGAGGTGAGCGGGCGTGCGCGCATGGGACATCGTGTGTGTGTGCATGGCGCATGCGTGTGCACGTGGACCCAGTGCAGACTGCGCCTTCCCACATGCACATGACATGTGCCCTGTGCGTGCATGTGTACGTGGTACGTACCGTGTGTGCATGACATGTGCATAGCACATACGGTGTGCAAGAGCGTGTGGAGGTAGCGCAGGTGGCGGGGGTGTGTGTGCAAGCACACAGTATATACCGTGCGTATGCGTGTGTCGTGGTGTGCACCACATGCACAGTATACACTGTGTGTTCATGTGTGTATGGTCTGTGCGTACATGTACATGCCACATATCATGTGTGCATATGCACATAGGTATGCACTGTGTGTGTGCTCGTGTGACACAGGTGCATGCCGTGTGTGTGCACACATGTACCTAACCTCTGTGTACGCGCAGAGACGTGGTACACGCCATGTGCACGTGTGTGCTGGACCAAGATGAGATTGCAGGGGAATGTGCTGGTCGGACAGAACAGATCACAGGTCAGAGCCAGTGCGGCTGCGAAGGTGGGGGCTCCGGCCTCCCTCGCAGCAGTGTGAGACGCTCCGGCCCCGTAGAAACACTTTGCATGAAAGCCGCCCTGCCGGGCTACAGCGCGACAGGTGCGACGGCAAGGCCGCATTTCCTTACAGCGAGGAGAGGGAGTCTCCCAAGACAACACTGCGGAGGCCGTGCGATTTACACTGCCCTGTGCTCCGCGCGTCCTGTGTCTTGCACACGTGTGATTTACACTGCCCTGTGCTCCGCGCGTCCTGTGTCTCGCACACGTGTAATTTACACTCCCCTGTGTGTTGCACACGTCTCACACGCACGCCGCCTCTGGGGTGCTCACTGCGCAGTCGCGACGCTCCACACCGCTTCCTTCACGTTGTCCCCAGTGCGTCCCCTCTCCGTGGTCCACACGCCGCATGCCCGCCTGAGGGACACCGCAGCCCCACCAGCTTGCTGGGAGGTGTCCTTGCCGATGGAGGTCTGCTCACCCCGCGCAGCGCTGCTGTTCGCAGCCTGAGGCCGTGCCTGTGTGAAGTGTTTATTTTGCATTGCTGTACACACAGAGTGTAGCAGGCAGAAAGCAAGGCGGTTACTTTTGCTAATCCCTCGGTAGGGGCTCACCCCAGGCCACTTCATTCCGAGGAGAGCCAGACGCGCTGTTTTTGTTCAGTTTCCCTGGATGAGCAGAGCCTGTAGTCATTTAAAATACATGTTATTATATGTCAGGCCTTTATACAAAACCGAAGTATTTCTGCAATACTGTGTCCCGGACGTGGAGAAGACAGCAAGGTAGAGTATCTTGACGGTAAGGAAAGTTGTGGCGATCGGACGCCACTGAAGCTGCACTCGCCCCTCTGTCCATGGCTGGGGAGAAACTTCTGGGACAGAGGTTCAGTAATTTCCTGAGGGTCAAGTGCTAGGACCGGGAACATGAATTTGACCTGTGCTGTACCATATCATGCACACATTAACCTCTCTTTCCTCAAAAGAAAATGCATAAACATGTTACCTGTCATCATTCCGTTAAGAAATTAATTGAAGTAGAAACTCTAGAAAATTCAGGAAGCAATTTCAACAAGTGCAAATGGGTCAGACTAAGCATGCTCGGCAAATGGCTGACTGACCTGCCCTGCGTTTGCTCTGCACACATATGAGCTGATTGTTTAGCTAAACATTTCTTCTTAATTCTACATCAGGAATAAATGAAATTACATTTGAAAGTAGTAGACTGAATTTCACAAGTTATATTTTATTCCAATGGCCAAAATGGAATCTAAGAGGAAAATCATTCAACAAATTGATTTCAGATCTAAAAACAGATTAAAATCCCATAAACCTCATTTTACTATATATTGTAATTGGGTGTGTTCTTCTTCATTCAGCTGTACTTGGGGAAGGAAGTGAGCGAATTTCTAGGCAGAACTCTCACACTTGGACATCCTCAAGTCTAGGTCATGGGAGAAAGAATTATTGAGGCCGTTAGCCATGGTGTCTAATTTTGCTGATTATATTTTCCTACCGTGGTATTAATATCAAAACTTCAAGCACTTGGACTCAAAAATTGCAAGATACATCTTTTTCTGTTGTGAGCTTTTACAAAATACTGTACAATTTGGAAAGATCGGTTTGTGCCGTTTTTGACTTCAGCTGTAATGATAGAAAACTTGGCACTGTGAGAAGGGCTATCCCGCATGATATGGGAATCCCAAACGCACTGCTGAGAACTCAGTGACTCTTCGTGTGCTTGTCGAGGGAGTGAGTTTATAAGTCTGCGTGACGGCGTGTTCCTGTAGGACAGCACTCATTAATCCTGCGTAATGTAAGAGGAGCCAAAGAAAGATGGGAAAAGCAGCCCTGAGTACTAGAGCTGCTTATATGATTATTAAGGTTTGCACTATTTGATCCTGGGTTGAGTAATCCATTTTCCTCCAAATTAATTGAGTGGCTGATTTACTGTATTTCTGATTTACTGTGGCCTTGGGATTTCCTCTCTTTAAAGTTTTAAATCTTCTACTGTACCCTCTTTATATTTAAAGGCATTTTATCTTCACCCGAATTAGCTTACTTACCAAATACTTCAGTGTGCTAATTCTGCCTCCAGGAACTTAATTACAGTTCATTTCTTGCACTCTTGTGGCACGGGGAAATTGTTCCACAGATTTTGCACAAGTTTCAAAATGTTCCCCTTGCCTCTTTGGAACAATGGTAGTGAGAAGCCTGACCCTCCCATTCATCCTGGGATCAGTATTTCCTGTGAAAATATAATGTGCTGTACTGAGGTGTGAGCTCTGTGTGAGAAAGGAAGTTACTCCTCTCATGGATAATTCTCCTTTGTGCTTCCAGAGACTCATGTATTTCACAAATACTGTGCTCCTCAAAACAGTTCCATTGCCACAGACTCTCTAGCCATATAATTTGAGAAATACAAGTTCAAACCAATTCTGATGTCCAGAACAGACATAGAGAAAAAGAAGTGATTGTGCAAATACGTGTGTGACGGTGGTCTGCCAAAAGTGACACTAGCAGCACAGAATGGTTACACTGGCTCATACTCCAGGCACTGTTTTAGCAACTTGGCGGATTCTCACCCTGCTATAAAGTGTTTGCTATTTTACACCACTTTTTCAGTTGGGAAAACTGAGGCACCAGTTTGCTGGAAGTTCTACTCATGAGCAACAGTGTGTGGCCTGAGTGCTGCCATGTCTCTGTTGCTGTCCTCCTAACTACTCACATAGGGTTGCCCAGAGTGCAAAAAAGACAGGGAAAAGTTTTTACAAGTCCACATTTGCTCACTGAGGCAGGACAAGTAAGAGTCCTGGAGTTGAGATGGAGAAAATTGCTCCATAAACTAAGGGAGATCACGCATGCCCTGGATGGGGCATGAGAGCAGGAACTACCCTAGAACACAGTGTGCAGGCCCCTCAGCCCTGCAGTGAAAAATGATGGCCTGGTTGGCTTTCCTGTTGCTGTGACACAGTGCCCGGCACCCACCTCTTAAAGGAGGAGAAGTTTAACTTGGCCAATGGCTTCAGGGGATTCAGTCCATGGAGTGTGGGCTCCAAGGTAGGAATATCATGGAAGGAGGGTGTGTGAGCAAAGCTGCTCACCTCACGGTGTCCAGGAAGCAGAGGGGTGGGAGAGGCTGGTGAGGGAACTCTGTCTTCCCAAGGCTCCCCCTAGCGATGCGCTCTTCCAAGGAGGCCCACGGGTAACCTCATGTCGAGCTGTGAACTGGTCAGTGAATGGCTCCACTGCTGTGTCTAGTGCCCCATGATCCAGTCCCCTTCCAAAAGCCACACCTCTGGACACATGAGTCTTTGGGGGGATGTTTCAGAGCTGAACCGTACACATGACTTAAATGCTTAACCACCTGTGCCTTTCAGATGTAGAGATACTATTAACTCATGAACATTTTTCTTCTGATGCTATAGTCAGATAGTACTCTGATTATTTGTAGCTGCTTAGTTCAGAGCACTTGAGACCCAAACCAGAGAGTAGAGGAGTAGAGGCACTGGGTGCTCTGTTGCTCTGAGCACATGCAAGCCTGTGGCTAAGTGTGCTGCATGCTGGGAGAGAACTGAGCTCTGCATTCTTCACTTCCTGGAGAGATCAGGCAGGCGACGCCCAAAGCTCGGCAGTCTCTGCAGAAGAAAGTGGTATAGAGCCAGGTGTGGTTAAGGAAAGGTCAGATTTGCAAAATGCATTTTTTAAATCAAGTTTCATTATTTTGACAGCGTGTCCTTCACTTATAAAATTAAGTAAGTACATTATCATGAGGCCAGCCAAAACTGTAATATGCAGTATTTCTCCCCATAGAGCAGGTGGGTGAGAGAGATATTTGATGGTAAAACTACCTAAAAAAAAAAAATTGACCTACACTTAGATTTGATAGATGGAGCCCCAGGGGCATTTTTATGTAATAGAACTCACAGAAATAGATATTACTGGGTTTTTATTTTTGTTTTGTTTTGTGTTACTTTTTGTTTTTCAAGGCAGGATCTTGCCATATAGTTAAGGGTGGACCTGAACTCACTGTGTAGCCCAGGCTGGCTTCAAACTCACGCTGATGTTCCTGCCTGAGCCTCTTGTATGCTAGGATTATAAGTATGTGGCACCACGCCCAACTGGCAATTACTGTTAATTTCAGATGTTTTGTCTGATTACATGAATATGCCAAATAGGAATAGTTTGAGTCTGGGAGTCAGAGTCTTATGCTCACTATAGGTGTTCCATGGGGGAGCACACAGAGCTGGCACCTTCCTGTCCCCAGCCACAGGAGACCGCTATTCATAGCAGAAGCTGGGGGCCATGGCTATGCTCCTCATGACAGAGAAAACAATTCTCCAAGGTTGGTGCTGACCCAGAACAGCACATCACTGCAAGAGCTTCAACTTGGACCTTGTCATAGTTTGGGGGTTTGCAAAGGGAACAATATAGTACAGGGCACATATTTTATAAGATTTTTTATAATA